GCCGCTTCTCCCTGAGCTGTTTCCCAACTATTTTTTTTGCCCAAGGTGTTTTTTATCCTTCCCACCGGGTTACTCCAACCCCACTCCGGCAGCTGCCCATTTCAAGGGGCCCCAAGTAAGTTTTTACAGTCCCAAACACAACAAGCCCAAGGATTCGTTACCCAGAAACTGTTATTTCCAACCCTCCCTCCTCCCGAACGCGCTTACGCAGCAGCTCGGGGATTGTTTGCTCGAGCGAGGGGAGCTCTCGGCCCGCCCGGAGCGCTGGAAATCCCACCGGAGCGGCGTCGCGCTCGACCGGCTTCCCCCGAACCGACGGCCTCGACGATCTCTCAGACCACCGCCCCGTCGAAACGGGTTTCTCACGATTTAATTAAGACTCGGAACTCGCCGCTAATTCACCGGACGCTCTTTCTATCCCCGATTTCAGACCCTGGAACGTAAAATAGACCTTGAAGGGATGTAAATCTTGGATTTCAACGATTCAACGTATCCGAAAAAGCCAAGCGCGGCTCGCACCCTCGCCTCCGCCGCCGCTTTACGGCCGCGGGTTTTTTCAGCTCCGCGATTCGGAGCTCGGGTTTATAAAACAAGATTCACCCACGTGGCACAGCTGGAGAAATCCAGGTTAGAGCAACACCGGGGCTACGGACGAGCCGCACGAAGGAAACCAAACCTTTGGAACCCAAAAGGCATCCGTCCTTCGCGAGGGGCTCCCTGGAAAAAGCAGCTTTCCAGCGTTTCTTAGAAGCTTTAGAGCTAAAATATCGAAAAGCTGGGAAAGGAACCCAAAAGCGAGCTGTACACTGTGATTTCCCGCTGGTCCTTGGGGCCCAGAATAAAGCGAACACAGCAGGAAGAAGGAAAAAAACTCCACGTGAGTGGGAAGTAACTAAATAACGAGGGGTCAAGGCTGCTGTCGAGGGTTGTTTTCACTGCTAAGGTGCTGAAGGGGGAGCTCGGACCAACAGGAGGGTGTTGAGGGGAGATCCTCGTGTACCCGAATAAAACAAAAAGACCAGAGCGTCCAGAGCCCTGCAGGGGGGAACAATCAACTGGTTTCTGACAGGGCTGGGAAGGAGGAGTGCGAAGGAGGAGGAAGGGGAAGCGCCTCTGGAAACTCAGCTGCCTCAGCCAGGAGCTGAA